GCCAGCTGTTTCCTTTATGCTCCATCTTCCTGGAGCCTGAGGGAGCGAAGAGAGCCATCTTAACCCAAATGCAACAATATTCTGCTTATGAAGTGAAGCATGTTAAAACAATACTGTGATCCATAACACTCAAGGTACATATTATGAAATTATAATGAAAGATGGAGGAAGTTGGTAGATATATGTCCTTGTCCAAAATATCAGGTCATGTTACACTAGAATATCAGATACTTTCTATGCCCTCATAATTATATCCAATTATAATATTTAGTCCATGTATTTAGTAAAGTACGTTACCGTTCAAAAGTTTGGGGGTCTGTACTATGTTTAATGTTTTTGAAAAAAGTCACTTATGCTCACCAAGGATGCATTTATTTGATAAAAAATGTAGTAAAACACTAGAAATGTAAATTCAGTATAATTCCATTATAAATCATCCTTCAGTAAAATTATTAATTACTTTAAACAGTTTTCAAAATTCAGCATTTTTGAATGGTAGTGTATGTGTATAGACAAATACAATTTTGAGATATTTGTATGTTTGAATGTTAATTAATTTATGACTTCATGTTAAAAATTCTCCCATAAAAACTTTAATAAGCTGCAATGCTTTGACCCAAACTAGGTCTTCATCAGGCGCTATGCATACAAACATGAGGACTTAATATCTTTTTATTTATTTGATTATGTATTTCATTTGTCTTTAACTGTTTTGCTTGTTTACTCAAATAGGCATTTGGTCATATTTAAATGGCTAAGTGGCCTATTGTATTTTTTTAATATAGTAAAATTACACATATTTACAATTCACAAAGTTTACGCCAAATTCTATGAGAACCAATTCTATATAAATAATCATTACAGGACAAAATATTGGTTGTATATAGTCTTATCAGTCGCAGGTTATCAGGTTTACAGTACTCCCCATGGTTACACTTTATTTCGATAGTCCACTTTAGACATTCTATTAACTATAAGTAACTTTGTAACTACATGTCAACTACATGTCAATTAATTCTCATTAATTTGCAACTACATGTCTACTAACTCTCAGAGTAGACTGTTAGGGTAGGTTTAGGATTAGTAGAATGTTGACAAAGAAAGTGTTAGAAGATATTAAGCAGACAGTCTACTAATACTCTACTAACTGCTAGTTGACATGTAGTTGCAAAGTTACTTACTGTTAATAGAATGTCTAAAGTGGACTATCGAAATAAAGTGTTACCCTCCCCATTTTATCTGTAATGCGGCAGGAAAGTTTAGCTGTTAAGAAAACAAAGAATAATTCTTTTTTAACACATCCAGACGAAAGTCCAATAAACACCAGACATGGAGCAACTGCCAGCAGTGGTGTAAACAGAGACAGCACAGAGTTTCATTGTTTTTAAAAAGTCTGGCTCATATCTTTTAAATCCATGTGCTCCAGATTTGAAATATTAAGTTTCACTCAGTAAGAGCTGGAGCATTCCACAGGACTGTGAGCACAAACTGAATCACATTCATGAAACAGCTACTACACATATAATAAATCTAAACTTGGTTCCATCTATTCATTTTGATTGATCAATATCATAAAAAGAGTGGTTGATCATAAAACATAATGGGTTAATAAGAGTGTGGCATGTTTACATGGTCATGAGGACCTGTCTTTGAAGATTTATGAATGAATATCTATTACCAGTTGAGCAGATCACTTAATCTATTGCTTTGACGTCATGACGGGCCTCTAATATATCTGTCAGCGATATATAATGACAGTTATTCTTTCTTCACAAGATCTGGGCAAAGATAAACTCTGTGTGAAAGGAAGCCGTTTTCTTTTGCTTTAATGGAAAGAATGTGTCGCTGAAGGAATAGTTATGTTTTTATGGCAGTGCATGAGTATAAAAAACACATCTACTAATATGAGGTAATAGTTCCTCCCACAATGAAGAATCTCTAACCAGGCATGATGGTCTTCTTGCACTCATGGCATTTGGAGGAGTACTCATTAGAATAGCACTCGGTGCACAGCAGCTGCTCATCTTTGGTAGAGAAAGGCTTGTCCACCAGTGAGCGCTTGCACTGGAAGCAGTGGAAACAGTCCTCGTGCCAGTGACGGTCCTTGTAGGACAGATCCTAAAGCCACAAAAGATGCGCTTTCATGACAATGGTTGAATTAGAGATAGTAACACACATATGGACCCATCCACAGTCTGTTTGATGACCAGCTGATGCACTTTTCAGATCTGTAAGCTCTAATCTGATTGGTCGGTTTTATGCAACTTCATACAGAATGTTATTTTAAGCGATGTTACCCTGCTGTTGCAGCCGATGGGTTTCTTGCACTCCTCGCAGGTGTTGGAGTACAGGCTCTCATAGCACTTCACACAGTAAGGGTTTTCCTCACGAAGAACATACTTCTTCCCAAACAGAGACTCCTTGCAGTAGTGGCAGTCATAACGCTCTGTCATCTTCTCTTCTGCCTTTCAGTCCTGTGATGAAGAGTATAAGGAGATGTGTAAAAATGTCAAAATGATGCAATCTTTGTTTATATTTATTTTGCTCAAACTGTCATTAACTATTGAGTTGTGAGATATTCAGATTTGTATTTTTTTAGGTCACTTATACAATGATTGTGAAATTATTTCCAGATGTGCTTGCTTCCACTGAAGCTCAAGATGCTCTTTGGATCGTCTCAAATCATGCTGGAGAACATGATCATCAGATTTTGCTGGAGAAACTCATGCATCATAAAAGCAGTGTTATTTCATTGTTTTTGATATGCAGTTATGGTTTTTTTTATAGTATTGTTTTTTTAATATTTTCATTTTAAAGTTTTAGCATTTTTGTCTATATATAGACAATATATTTAAATTAAATTGTACTTTTAGTTTGTTTAGTTTTTTAGTTATTTTAGTACTTAAAATTTTCAGTTAATGTTTATTTTAATTTCTATGGTTTTAGTTTTGGTTAATTCTAACAAATACATTTCCCATTCAACATCTAACTCAATTTTTTTTATGATAATAATACAATTTACAGAATTATAGGCAATTTCACTAGGGGTCTCAGACTTTTGGAGCCCATTTCATACATTTTGCAACATTTTAACATTAAACTCCTCATCAGCGTTTACTGGTTACATTTATATGATAATGGTTTTACAAAAAAATCGAGAAATTAAGAAGGAAAGAAAGAAAGAAAGAAATATATTAAGAGATGAGGGTTTATAAACGTTTTAGTGTTTAAGGAGATATCAGATGTTGCTAACCATAACATCAGAAGCTCATAACATCAGAAGCATCAGCAATTCACTCTCTGTATGGCTAACAGTGATCAGTCATTCTCAGTCCTAGTGCACACTGGATGGAGCACACTGGAATTCCAAAGTGTAGTACATCATAGCATCATAACCAGCCTGTTATCTCACCTCCAGCTGTCAGCCATTATGTTATGTATCAGCATGTGTTCGTGTGCGTACGTAAATGTGCCTCTGCTGGCAAGCATGCGATTACCTAGAAACATGAATGGACTTTTTTCTGAGAATTATCTATCTTTCCTGTAATAGGCCACATAATTCTATTGTTACAACACTGATCTGATTCTAAAACTGATCTGAACGCAAATCATTCAAAGAAACATTGGTGTTCAATGTGTATCTTATGTGAAATTAATTGAGAGAGAAATTGTGATTTCTTCTAAATTATTCTTAATAACAGAATGACATCTACTCACGCGGCTGTCTGAGTCCTGGACCTATTAAGCCTCTCTGCGTATTGTTCCCATGAGCCCTGTGATGCTGAGCGCCGCCTCACTCCGTGCCACCGCCTCAGGGGTCCCCAGTGTCCCGCACACGCTCTCTCCCTGTTCCTCAGCCCCCTGCTATCCCGTTGTGAGTTTGTCTAACTGAGCCCTCGTCCGGCCCGGGCTTTACTACTACACCAAATCCCCCTCTACTGTTTTACCATAAAAGGCAGCAGATGGAAACCAGGAGAAGCGGCTCTCTTGCTTAAAATCCTTCTAAGAAAATTCTTTGACTTGCACAGTCAGTCCTTCACTCCCCCCTCCTCTGCTTCCTGTTTGTCTTGCCCTTTTCTGCTGTCTCACTTCTTCAGGCTTTCTCCCTTTCTCCATCCAACTGGCAAGCCATCTCAATTCTTTCCATTGGTTTCCTTCTACGTCTTTTCACACTATCAAAATAGCATACTGCAGGTTATTCTGACCATATTTTCTTGTGGAAATAGGTTGTCCATGGGTCTGACCATGACTTACTATGTACTATGTACACAGGATGACCATGACCATACTGTGCCACTAAATATTAATGTTTTTTTGGTAACACTTTAGTATAGGGACCAATTCTCACTATTAACTTGCTTATTAGCATCCCTCTTACCAACATATTGGCTGTTTGTTAGTACGTATAAAGCACATTTTCTGCATGACCATATTCTACATCCCTAATTCGACCCAATACCAAAACTTAACAACTACCTTACTAACTATTAATAAGAGGCAATTTAGGAGTTTACTGAGGCAAAAGTCTTAGTTAATGGTTTGTTAATAGTGAAAATTGGACCTTAAAATATAGTGTGACCATTTTTTCAAGCACCTTTCCTTCCATCGTACTGAACTTGACAAAATCTTGCCTTGGTTTGACACAGTACGGATAAAGTGAATTGTTTAAATAAAATGACTAAATTAACTTTAACTAATTTGTTTAAATGAAGTTTGAAATGATTTATCAATCAATCACTCTTATCTGTGATTGCTGTAAACCAGTGGTTTTCCAAAACTGTGAGAACCTGGTTTTTCAAAGGAAACTGGTTCTTCAGTTTATAGTTGTTTTGCCTTATTTTAATAAAAAGTTTGTTTCATCGTATTTTATCGTTTTAAGTCATCTTGAGGCCTGTATCCAGGGCTGTTTTTGGAAATGTACAGTACTTACAACTTTGCCTTAGACGTATCTAAATGTAGGAAGCAAAAAAGGTTCCTGACAACCTGATGGGGTTAGTCTTGAATTGGGAATGACATAAACTAATGTGCAGTGATACAGATGTGCTAAAGCAAGCAAATGATAACATTTATAAAATATCATGCAATAGATCTAAATAATTATACTTGGGTTCATTCTTTTGATTCCTCTTATGTTGTCATTCTAATCTTATTTGTCTTTATTGTCTTTTATTGTTTGTTTCTAATCTTCAGTCCAGTAAATACATAGAATCCTCGCTATGATTGCCTGCAACTACCCTGTAAAATTTGACAAGACTACATTCATTCAAGCAAGTTTGGTGGTGGCTGCAATAATTCAGTTGAAGATTTAAGATGGATAAACATGGTTGTTAAAGCTTAAATATCAAAATTATCCTGTTTGTCAGCTGAAGCATTCTTGGCAGTTTGTAAAGCCCTCTTTTAAGCTAATTCACTTTTGTTTATGAAATTTTGTCACCAGCACACTTGATCTAAACTGATCTCCTCTAACAAGATCTCTCTTGGGCATGACTTGGTATTTCTCTAATATCTCTTTTTATAATCCTCATCTGTGTTCGGAGACATCTGCGAGTGTCATCACACAAACATATCACACAATGCTAATTAAAAGTATAGCAGAGGTCGGAAAGATAAACAGAAAGCTTTTAGATGACACTAAAAAGAGAAGCCAGACAGGTGGATGGAAGACTAACCCTCCTGAGATTAAGACCTTGTTTTCGCGCCCCACACACAACCTTCACACCCCCATTCCTGCTCCAGCACAATCCATATCCATGGAGAGAGTGAGACAAGAGTCTGACCACCCATCATGACTCTATAAACGCCCACCGTGCCTTTTATCTTCTCCATAAATGTTTTAAGAGAGACTTAAAGCTGTCATAGACCTTAGTGTGTCATATACAAACCCGTTAACACAATACCAAGCCACTGTGAGACAAATCCTTTACTGCAGACGTTTGTTAGTAGACTCAAATGAATGCTTTTTGCATTTTTTTAAAGAAATTAATAGTTTAAGTTGTAATAATATTTCACAATATTACAATTTTTACTGGATTTTTTTTAATGCTTTTTTTTGGTCTAAAGGAGTGATATATTCACCTAATAGCGACTGTGCAGAATGACAGAAGAACAGCCATAAAGCAGCAGATGTGATGACAGAGGCATTGACATGACAGATACTAGCACAAACTGGAGTGATTCTGACAGAGAACAGAGGTTTAGTGATGGATGGTAGTTGTATCATTGCTCACGAGTGTGATCTGGCATTAGTATAATCTACCTGTATAGACACGAGTGCCTGTGGTTCTTACCTCAGGAGAAGAGCTGTCTGTCTGTGTGAAGAGTCTGGCCAGACTGAGCGTAGAGGCTCTCGGCTGGGGTTGTATGTTCTCCTGATTAAATTACTCCACCTATGGAGTGACTAATTGGAGTGGTAGGGTTTGGGCAGGCTTTTTCTATCAAGATGAGCTATAAATACAACACAGCAACACTAAAAGTACCAGCACACTAGATAAAGCCCATCTGCGTATAGACACACACACACACACAAACACAAACACATACATTCCCTCTTACCTCTTCAGTCCTGTGTCCTTTTAAGGCCTCGTTTAGTTTTGTGAGAATTACATTCATTCTGAAATAAATATAAAAAGATTTTAATCTATTACAACAATTTAAAAAAACAATGATTTTATGATATTTTTGTCGTGTTTTCTAGTAGAAAATATCTAAAAGTATCTATTCCTGAAACATGCTTGAAAAGCTAAATTGTGTTATGATATTAAGACTTATTTTCAGAGAATATATCGTGAATTAAATGTATTATTCTTAATCCATTAGTCCAAGCATAACAATTTTGTTTAGCTTAAAACAAGTGGATGCGGTTTATGATTTAGGATTCATCAACAGGTGTAAATCTGGCAATTTTTCATTTTTATGTATCAGAGTATTCGGTCTTCATTTTAAAGGGCTGTGCCATTATCACATTGCTATTGATGAAAGTAAAATACAAGCATGGACAGAAAAGTGCTTGGACCCAAACGTGTATTATGTAAGATTTTCTGTTTCGTAGTAATAACTCTTGTCTTCATCATCTGCGTCTCATTCCCTCGCTTCATTTCTGCCCCTCAAGCGTTTGTGAGAGAGAAGCGAGCCAGAGCAAACAAACAACTTGGAGAATGTTTACAGACCTCCTCTCTTGCAATGGACGTTTTTTTATTGAAACATTTTTATGTGACAAAACACATTTTTATTTGACTTTAGTTGCCTTTAGTTATGATTCTTTAATTCAGATTTAAAGAAGTCAGAAGAAAAGTTTATTCACATGTTCAAAGTCCATCTAAAAGTAAGTACTCACATAAGTTATTTTAAATACATTGTCCTAACAAACGGTCTCTTATGCAAGCAATTTGTGACACTGACCCTTTAAACTAATTTGTACACTATCGTTTTTGCTTACAATGAAGCACAAGATGATCTTTGGGACATTCTAAAATCATATTAGGACATAATGGATCATGTGGCTTGAGTGCACATGACATTCAGAAAAGGGATATGCTAAGAAATGCTGAAATCCATGTAAATTGTTAATTCATTTTTTCACTTAAATTGTATGCTGATAGTGAAATTTACAATGAAAAACTTATTTACTTAATTAGAAAACAATGCAAGATGCACTTTACTAGTGGTCTCAGCGTTTAGGATACAGCTGCACAGTGGCCCCAAAAAGTATATGGACACAAAAGTCAATCTTAAAGGCATAGTTCGCCCAGAAATGAAAATCCTGTCATCATTTACTCACCCTCATGTCTTTCCAAACCTGTATGACTTTTTTTTCCTCTACACAAAATAAGATATTTTGAGTAACGTTAGTAATAATACAGTTGTGTTCACCACTGACTTTAACTGCATGGACAAAAAACAATGAGACATTTTTCAAACATATCTTATATGATTTTTATGTTCCACAGAAGAATGTCATACGGGTTTGATGACAGAATTTTCATTTTTTTAGAGTGAACTATTCCTTTAAAAATGTATTGTCAGCACAAGCACACATTCCAATTAAACATTTCACAAAACAATAAATATTGTTTAAATAAATCGTGTTTGGACACTTTCTGGCTTTTCGCACATGACATTCAGAAAAGGGATATGCTAAGAAATGCTGAAATCCATGTAAATTGTATGCTGATAGTGAAATTTACAATGAAAAACTTATTTACTTAATTAGAAAATAATGCAAGATGCACTTTACTAGTGGTCTCAGCGTTTAGGATACAGCTGCACAGTGGCCCCAAAAAGTATATGGACACAAAAGTCAATCTTAAAGGCATAGTTCACCCAGAAATTAAAATCCTGTCATCATTTACTCACCCTCATGTCTTTCCAAACCTGTATGACTTTTTTTTCCTCTACACAAAATAAGATATTTTGAGTAACGTTAATAATAATACAGTTGTGTTCACCACTGACTTTAACTGCATGTACAAAAAACTATGAGACATTTTTCAAACATATCTTATATGATTTTTATGTTCCACAGAAGAAAGTCATACGGGTTTGATGACAGAATTTTCATTTTTTTAGAGTGAACTATTCCTTTAAAAATGTATTGTCAGCACAAGCACACATTCCAATTAAACATTTCACAAAACAATAAATATTGTTTAAATAAATCGTGTTTGGACACTTTCTGGCTTTTAGAAGTTAATGGATCATGTTCATAGTGATGTGATATACTACACCTGTGGACCTGAACTTCAGGAGAACTGCATACCTCCCATTGACTCCAGCTGGCATGCAATAGCAAAAAAGATGTGGAGAAATCAACATCATTTGTTTCCCAACTCCACTGGACATTACCTTTTAAGTGTTTTTTTGGGGGGGGGGAGGTCCAAATGGGAAGAAGGATTGTAAGGTTTTCAAGAAATATCCCCCGCTCTCTCCACTTAATACCATACACTTTGCCCCTAAATCTTGCCCTCAGTCCCTCTCCACCTCTCTGTCACTCTAGGGGATTGTGTTAAAAGATGTTTTCCATACGTCCTGATAACAGACCCTCTGTTTGGTTTCTGAGAATATTGTGGAGCTATTTTCTGCACCTTTCCATCTCTCACTCTTCACCTCTCTCCTTTCTAATCACAGCCTCCCCCACCTCCTTCCCCCATCATCCCCTTTATCTTTCTCTCTCAGTTATGGAGTGATCCTGATCCATGGAACTTACTAGATCTGCTACTGTATGCAATGTTATTAATCTATACGTCTGTTTAATCAAACAAGC